CCACCCACCCATCCATCCTCCCACCCACCCATCCACTCATTCACAAATATCTTCTCATTGCCTACTATGTGTCAGGCACTGTACTTGACCAAAATTAGTAATTACATAATTATGTGCTTAAAATGACCCTTCTCCCTGACTAGGTGGAATGATGGAACAATGCCGGGCACGTAGCATAATTAAAAGTTGGCAGAAGAAATGAGTGAGCTCACGGTTTATTAGGAGGAATGAGACACAGGTTGGAAATAACTCAGGCACAAGGCAGAGTGCGGCTGGCGGCCGGACAGCGACCCCGCGTGCCACGTGGGTCTGCGGGCGGGAGAGAGCCTGCCGGCCGTGACGTCAGGGGAGGCCGTACGGGAGGAGAGAGCACACCCGAGCGTGCCGTCAGCGGTCACGCTGGCTTATGATGCGGACACGGCAGGGGAAGGGCGGGGACAGCTGGACGGAGCCCTCGGGCAGGAAAGTCTGACTTCCGGGTGCAAAGTAATGTCTGACTCAGAGCATAAGCCACATATAGGAGAGATCTTCTAGGCGACAGACTGTGTTTGAGAACAAGTGCTAGAGTATATGCACACGCATGCACGCACACGCACACATGCACATGGGCACGCACACACGCACATGCACACGCATGCATGCACATGCATCGATGTGAAACAAAATGCTGGCGGTGGAACGGGGCAGAAGGGAGAGCCCACTGTCATTTGCCCGCAAGGACGATTTCGTACTCCTCACCACGCCTGGCACGTGGTAGGTTTCAATAATTGTTTTTTTAATGAACAAATCCCCTGGGGAAGCCTTCCAAGAAAAATTATTAGGTGGAGCCTGGATGTGTTAACTTAAAAATAAAAAGGCCAATCGAGGCGAGAGGCAACAAGCATTCGTTCGAGGTCACCTAGAGCAGCCGGCTGGGACGCACGGATCCAGGCAGAAGCCCGATCAGTGTTCCTTAGGAGACAAAGGCGAGGGGTGTTTGCGAGAAGGTCAGGGGAAGGTCAGGGGACAGTCACGTCCATAGCAGGAAAGCATTGCTCCTGGTGCCGATGACATAACGTAGTGGTGCTAATGCTGAACAGTGTTTTCCTGATTTCCGGTTATCTTTGCGAACAGTCCTTTGAGACACAATGTTGCCCTCAGCCCAATCTAAAGGCTACTTTGCCCTGTTTTAGCATCTCAGACACTTGAGGCACAAGGCGTGCGAGGCACTTCCGCTCCTCTGGCATGGCAGCCCCGGCACCATTTAAAGAGGCTCCGTCTTTATTGTCCGTATTAACAGTGGAACGGGGCAGGGAGAGGCAGAGAAGCACCAGGCTCGCGATGACAGCCCCCAGCACGGGGAAAGAGAGGGCTAGGGGAGATGGGGGCGGGGAACGGAGACCCAACACACAAAGAGGCCAAGAGACAAGGAGGGGACCTCGGGACGACAGGGGCCTCAGGGCTTTGTCTTCTCCTTGGTCTCTCCGCCCTTGACTTTGGACCAGAATCAGAAACCACTGCCTCGCTGCAGCCTTGGGAAACCCGCTGGGCTTCTCTGAGACGCGGGACTGTTCGAGCAGCCCGCCCGCGTCCCGTTCCCGTCTGACCTCCCGGTCAGTCCACGGCGGGGCCCCTTCCCCTGGCCCGGGTCGTTTTCTGTGCCACGCCCCCGGTCACGTTCCCTGTGGCACGCTCGCTCTTCAAGTCCGTGACCAGCCATCCCAGGTTCCAGGGCCAGGGGGCTTTGTTTTAACACCGGGACAGTTCCAAGCAAACCGAGCCCAGGGCTCGTGGGTTTCGAAGGCTGTCTTCCTTGGCTACCTGTGCTGTCATCTCCCGAGCAGGCGGTCAGCGCTCCGCGGGGAGGGACGTCCCGTCCTGTCATGACTGCGTCGCTGTCGCAGGGTGGGCGGGGCTCGTCCACGGGGAGGGAGGAGAGGGACAGCTCTGTAAGGTGCAGTCGGGTCGGTGATCAGGGAAACGTCCTCTTTTATTGTCTTCAGACTCTTCCTCTGCGATCTCCATTTTTATCACCGGGTGGCAATTTCCTGTCCCTTTATAGCAGGAGCCCACACCTCGCCGAGAAGCCCAGGACTTTGTACGCCTGCCAAGGGGAGAAAAGGCAGGAGAGCTACGGGTTCGAGAGGAGGCGGAGGGGGTTCCCGTGGGGGCCTTCGGTGCAGCAGGTGGAGCACAGGTGAGCTCACCTGCCAGTCCAGTGAAGGGGCGGGCCGTGCGGGCCAGGCCAGAGGCCGCGGTGGCTGTGACCAGTCAGCCCAGGCCTGTCTGGGTTCCACCACTCCGGCTGGGCGTGAGGCAGCGAGGAAGCCAGACCGCGGCGGGAGGATGCAGCTCGCGCTGTGGACGCTCTGTGCAGGTGAGTGACGCCCTCCCTGTCTGCTGCCCGTGGGTGGGCGACACAGGGCCCTGAACTCTGAGTCTCCCAGAGCCTCCCCACAGAGTGGCCTAGAGACACAGCTGTGCTCCTGCTGGGCAGAACGACACATTCTGTCCTCAGGTTCAGGTTCAGGCAGGTTCCAGTCCGACACCGGGAATCAGAATGGTTTTTATTTGCATATTAGTAAAAAAAAAAAAAAAATCCCAGCCCATTTCTGGAATGAAAAGTTCATAAATTCTCAAGACCATATTTTCGGATCCCAAATCAGAGCATAGGCTCAGACACCAGCTCTGACAGTTGGGACGAAGTGTCTGAAGCTGAGTTTGTCCTGGAAAATCCAGATGTACGTACGTAGACACAGTCACTACTTAGGGTTTTAACCGTCTCCTTAAAACCAGAGAGAGAAGCAGCGGTAAAAGTATTGACACCTGTGTCACGTACAGGGAAACTGAGGCAGAAAGGCACTGCGGCTTAGCCAGCACCATTCCCAGAGCAAGAGAAAAGCAGTCCCTTCCGAGGGCCCAAGCTCCTTGGCCTTCTGACTCCCCGGCCAGTGACAACCCAGAAGATGGGGACCCCCAGACGGAAACGAGGGAGCGAGCGGTACACAACCAGGTCCTGACTCCGCACCAAACAGCCAGGCCGCCGTGCGGGGCGCTGGGAGACTCCCAGGTTGGGACGGAAGGCTCGGGGTTAGGCTCCTGGGCGTGGTGGGAGGGAGGCGGGGGGCGGCTGGAGATGTCAGGAGCACATCTACTCTGAGAAGTCCCATCAGCTTGCAATCTAGAAGCTACCGCGGGCTCCACAGGCCCGGGGAGAGCGGGCGAGGGCGAAGGTTATACCAGGAAATGCGACTCTGGCTT